TATATATATATATATATATATATATATATATATATATATATTTTAACTGGAATATAGCAAGTTGGCATCATTCGCAAACAAAACTGAATCTAAAATGTCAGAAATTTTTTTTAAATTGTTTATATATTCTATAAAGATCGTAGAGGAACAACGCAGGTAGTTATCTTATAAATGATTTTTCTTTTACCAAATTATATATATATTGCTATCTATTAATCAAATAAATTTCAAACCGGGACAAGACAATTTAATATTTTTTTTATTCCTTAATTTTTGAGTTAATATAGGAGTTGATGACTGTATCGAAAACTTTTCTTAAACCAATAAATATACCTAGAAGTTTCTTGTTTTCATCAAATGCTTGATACAAATTATTAACATGGCTACATCTGTGAGAAAAATTTTAATTGTAAAATTTTTTCAAAATATTAAAAAATCAGGAGGTTATCTTATTTACATAACCTTTGTTTTATCTAAATCAAAATATCTCAAAATTTAAACAAGCCAAAAACTAAAAATAAATTAGCAGTCACCTTGTTTTTATATTGACTATAAAATGACTATTAAAATTAAAAAAAATAAGGAGATAAAACTAAAAAAAATTATACTTTTATTAACAGCTTATTTTCCTTTACACCATGGATAAGTTTATACAGTCGTTTCAAAGTTTAAATTATAAAGAACAAGTGGTCAAAATTTCATGATCTAATAGCAAATGGTTGGAAAGATTTTCGAAACCTCAAAAAATTTAAAAAATTTGATGACTTTAAAGTTAGAACAGTAAAATTTAATACTTCTTGCTAAACACTTTTTGAACAGAATAACGACGCCAACTCGCCAACACGCCAACAAGAACCAACTTTTTTCTTGAACAAAATAACCACGCCAACAAGAACCAGCTTTTTTCTTGAACAGAACAACCACGTTAACAAGAACCAACCTTTTTTTTTAAGCAATCTTATCTACTTAGTTTTTCCAAAAAACTATTTTGAAAAGAGTTATTGAGTTGGAGAAAAGGTCCTAGCATCATTTGTAAACATCTATGCCGCTCATCTATGCCGATAAATAGCCACTATATCAAATGCTAGAAAGTTATAGGATGGCCATTTTTCGCGGACACTGCTAATAATACACTTACCGATGAGCGAAACTCCAATGAGCCACTCAAAACGCCTTTATAAGTCTATTGTAAATCCACCACAAAAATGCTAGCTAGAGTTCTCAGTAAAATGTCATGCTTTTTTGAATTATATTTGCATTTCATTAGTTGTTCAGGACAGTAATGTTTTTTTAGGCTTTAAAACTAAACCAAATAAAAAAATTTTGTTTTTATGATAAACTTTATTTATGAGTGCCTTGCTATAGAGATTTTTGCTCATTGGTGAGTCCATGACGAAATATAGCATCACTGGGAAATAAAGGGTTGGACTTTTTTTCAATTTTTTAATCGTGACACCAGATTAATTAGGGAAAATAATATGAACACTATTTTGAGCTAAATTTAACGTTGATTAGTATTATGCAAAAAATTGCATTTTTTTAAATATATCTTGAAATAAATTTAAACCAAGACAGAAACAAGCAAAAAAAAAAATGGAGATTTAACTCTGGATACTATATCAACACACGCATAGACACAAATTAGTTAAAGAAATTGTTATTATTACTTAAGTGGAATTGCTTTAAATTATTTTATGGTAAAAAATGTTTTATTGGCATTCAATGCATATGAATTTAGGAGTAGGATGATAATCAATCACACCAAAAACGCAAGACCAATTAGCACACTGTTTGCATGTAAGCCATTAAGCTACTAACCCAATCAACACCAAAAGAACATAAGCAAATGAACTCTTTTATCGGATCAATGTTTTCTCAGTCTTGAATTTTTTTTCTTTGGTTATTTTAGATGACTTGCTTTCAAAAGTTTTTTTTTTTGGCCTTCTCTTTTTTTTGTTCTTCTTTTTTTATGAACTTTTTTCTTTTTGAGACGCAGTAGCCATTTTCTGTTTTTTTTTTTTTAATTCTTGTTTGGTTTTGTCAAAAGCTATAGGATCTGCTGATGTCTTATTATAATTGGCTATCCGCTTAACTCTTTTACCTTTCTCTTTTCTATTAGTTGAAGGTGTTAATTGACTTTTGAACAACATTAAAACTTATTGGTATTTAATGTATTTAAATTTCTATATAACAATTCTCGGTTCAGCATTATACCCAATAGTGTTTTAGGAGTTTTAGTTGTTTTGGTTACAGGCTGAAACAAACTAATAATGTCTCCATGAGCTTTAAACACATTGCCAATTTCAGTTTTTTCTTAAAAGAAGTTTTTTATTGATTAAGTGCAAGTAAACTATTACTTACGATTCATGTTCAATCGTTTTAAAAACACCTAAAAACTGTAAAAATAAAGGCTCGTAATAGAAGGCAAGCGCCAAACTATAATTTTATTTTTAAAGGCTATTTTTTTCAATTTTAGATTAATATGTGAAGTACAACCTTCAAGTGTTTTGACTTCATCCAACCCCTCGATTCGCTATTATTGTAATAAACATTTTCAGCGCCGCCTTTGCACATGCATTTCATAAAGCATTTTCTTTAGAAAATTACTTGATGTTACAAATAATATACATCACAAATTAGCAGTTATTAGCTTGTTGTTTGTTTATATTTTTTTGGGATTTTTGGTACCTTTTCTGCATAAGATTTCAACTCTGCCTTGGTCGCATTGTAACACAGGTTCATCACAATTAAAAATGTAAAATATTTCCAATTGTGATGAACTTCTTAACTTATTTATTTTATTGAACTTATAACTTATTTATTTTATTGAGATAGATGGTTGCTACTTAGTCATATCAGTCGTCAATTATTTTCGTCTATGTAGCCATTACTCTAATAGCTTGCATAACACTAAATTTTCTTACTTTAATTTAATTTTTATGAATCTGCTATACTATTTTATAATTATTTTCCCATTTTTGAATAAGAGAATTTGTTCAGACTCATTCAAATATTTAACAACACTCAAACGTCACTCAACATCTTCAAACAACACTCAAACGTCACTTTTTTCAAATAATTACCTCAAAAGTTTGACTCTGGGTGAACCAGCTCCAGCAGATTGACATTTGCCTTTTCTTCTGTCGTGAATTTTTTGTGATTTCGACAAATTGAAACATTATGTTTGTTCATATGACATTGTTTTGCCATTAACGACTTGAAGAGCTAAGTGTTTTCAAGCCTCTTTTTCAAACTTTTGTTTTTATTTGACTGCATTAATTTGTTAATATAATATTATTTACCAATTTAAAAATTATAATTGATAACTTTTTTCAACACCATTATAATCTTTTTAACCATTGATTTTTTGTCATAAATAACTTATTACTTTATATAAGCTTCAAAAAAAAATTTCATAAAATTTTTTACAGAAGAAACATTTTTCACTCTTCTGTAAAATTTTAATTTTGTGCCTCGTCACGTTTTCAAAATACAGAGTTCAACTGTTTTGAAGAATAATTACTTTTTTACTTTTTTTGTTTTGTTTTGTAAATATATTTTTGTCATTATAAATCAAAAATAAATAATTAAGAACAAATATTTAATGAAATAATTTTGTGCAGGGGTGTACCCACCTTAACTCGAACGTTTCATAAGGGAAATAAGGTATTAAAATAACTTAATAAATTTTTTTTTTTAGAAGTCATTCCATATAAAACATAAATAACAGTAGCATAATAATTTTTTGTTTGTTTTAGATCTAAATAGAATAGTAATTAGATCTGAATGAAACAGATCGTTATCAGTAAAATAGTGTTATAATAAAACTGTTTCAAAATAAATCCAATCAAAATAACGTCAAAAAAGCAATTTTTAAGTTTTAATAAACTTCTTAATAAAAGAGCTCCAGCTCTTAGATGCAATTTTATTGCCAAATAATGAAGTCATTGAGTTGCTAAATTTTTTCATTGTTATTTTTAGTACAGAGTGAATATAAATAGCTTTTTTACTGAAACATATTTCATCTTTATTAGTGTAGTGGTGTATATATTAAATGCTTTTAACTTTAGCATTGAATAAAGAAAAATCGCCCACAACTCCTCATATCAGCAAAGGTTCGACTAGATAAAAATTCGCTTTATTCAAAACATTTTCCATGGTCCCGTGGAAATTCGAGTTATCGGGAATTAACTGTTTATTTATGACAATGTTTTAAAAAAATACTAGAATTCGTTAAACTTCTAATCACAGTTTTTGATTTATCACATTTTCTAATATTCATAAGTAATGATATATTTTGCAAAGAAAAATGCGCAGTTTTTAAAAAAGGTGCTAAAGCGCTTTATTTATTTTTTAAAGTTTTTTTTTTATTTTAGGGGACTTATGATTTTGTCATGATTTCTCATATTACGTTGGTTATTATTTCAAACAACTATAAACTAAATATACATTTTTTCTCAGGAATGCGGAGTCCCAAAAAGAGACTTAAAAATCACAAAAAGAACACTTCTTTCTAGATTTTGGTACCCAGGAGCTTTGAAAAAATAAAAAATCTAATGGGATGCTAATGGAGAAAAAAATGAGACATATAGGTCAGAACAACAATCAGTTGTTAAACCCGTAGTCTTTAGGTATAATAGCGGCAAGGACTCCGGAACTCCAGGCTTAAAAACAATAAGTTCCAAATCATTAAATATCATTAATTTTTTTCTTATAGCAGATCATTAATCAACAAACAGTTTAGAGCTTTTAGACACCAGAGACCATGAAAAAATAAAACTATCTAGCCGGAGTCCTTATGGAACTCCGCATCCCTGGTTTGTCCTAAGTAAAACATTTTTTTCCGGATTATGCAAAGCTACAACTTATTGAATAGCACAATGTATTTAATTTTAAAACTTTTAGTGTAGTTCATTACAAATATTATATGTAAAAATTAATTAACAATTGTAATTCATATGTTTTACAAACTATTCAAATTTAGCTTCATAGAAACATGATCAGTACGAGCGAGGTGGGCATTGTCGAAGGCATTGCCCAAGACCTTTGTTGCCAGTCTTATCACAAAATACCATTCCATATGGGCATGGCATACATATTGGATTCATGTCTACACAAGCTACATAACCAGGTTTTGTTTTGCTATCAATTGCGTAATTGCCATCAGCGCGTTCTAAACATTTTTTAGTCACATCGACACCTAAATGATTAAAATAATTGAAAGACATTTTTTATCATAAATTGTTAACTAAATATGGAAAAAAACATGCGAAAACATTACAACTTGTAACTTAATACTAGTTCATAATTAGTCGCTTACCTAAGCAAAAAATCTTTTTTGGTTTGTATTCACTTTTAGGAAAGTAATCAATCTTAGTCTCGAATTGATTTTCGTTGTCAAAATTAGATGGAATGGTGTCGCTAGATTCGTATTGATCTTCAAACTCTAAAAACTCATCAGCAGTAGCTGCAAGAATAACGGAGAAAATTAAAATAATTTTCATAAACATGATTGCGAAATTCTTATCGTTAAATAAAATTGTTCTAAGTATATAGCTATATAGTATCTTATGCAAGTCTAATATTTAATACTAAATAAAAAAAAACAACTAAAGTATTTATATACTTAAAATATACGGAATTGTCACAGTTGGCTGACTAACTGAACAAATAGTTAAAATCAGTATTTCTTTTCAAATCAATTCCCAAAAGAAACAATTTCAAATAACAGGAGTAATAAAGGTAATGAAATGCTATGAAGTTCCTTTTGTTTTAAAACACATATGATTTTACTATACTATAAGTATTTACTTTATTATACCAGTAAGTCCTTTTTATAAATTCTCAAGAGAATAATATTTTAATATCTAAAGCAAAAAATAAATTATTTTTTTGGAGGTTTTTTTTTTTTAACTATAAATATTATTCCCAAAAGTGTAGTTTATGTTGCAATATGTTTAACAACAAGTCTAAATAGCAACAATAGTCCTAACTTGTATGGAAAATTATATTCTGAAAAAAATACTATATGTAGATTTTGTATTTAACATGAATAGGAAACTGCTGCTCAAATGCGAATTTGTTTAAATTAAAACTTTTGTAATTAAGCTAAGAATATAGAAACAGCTGCGCATAGCTACTTATAAACCCTTAAATAAGAATTTTAATCATTTTTTTCATTAACCTTACAAGAGCGTTTGACATTTATTAATATTTTCAATTTCATTTAATTATTATTTTTATTATTTTTACTTTTTGCTTATTTTTATTATTTTTTTATGATATTCTGTTAATTTTTCATTAAAATTTCAAGATGGTACATAAATTAGAAGATTATAACTTAAAAATATAAACAACTACACAGAGAAAAATATAATCAACTAGATAGAGACTCGTAGAAAACTGTATAACGTATAATAACGTATATATATAGAATTGGTATATATGAATGAAATTGGTTCTATATATATATATATATATATATATATATATATATATATATATATATATATATATATATATATATATATATATATATATATATATATATATATATATATATATATATATATATATATATTATATATATATAATAATATATATATAATATATATATATATATATATATATATATATATATATTATTATAATATATATATATATATATTATATATATATATATATATATATATATATATATATATATATATATATATATATATATATATATATTATATATTATATATATATATATATATATATATATATATATATATATATATATATATATATATATATATATATATATATATATATATAATATTATATAT